AAATCTGTAGGATTTGTTCCTGGCGATGATGTAGATGTCGAGGAGAGCACGGCGTTGAGGTGGACTACCGGTTCCCAGCTTCGGTGACAAGATCCACCTGGATGCTGCCAACCACACAATAAGCAGGGTCACCGTTATTTAGGGGGAGAAGGTTATGGGTTTGGTTTTGGTCGGTGTGAGTTGAAGGTCACTGTGAAATAGCCTAATGATGATGGTGAGTGGATAGTTGGATTTAAGAGTGAGAAGGTCTGGAAAGTAGCCTGAGCTGGGGATGGAGTTGGGTGACTACCTCCCTCTGAGGGGTGTTTGAAGCCACTGGGGTAGCTCCCATCATCCAGGGATCTAGGGATAAGGTGTAGAGCAGGAAGAGGGGGCCAGGGACAGGTGTTGGGGAGCACCAGCATTGAAGGGAGGTCCCTGGAAGAAGTAAAGCAATGCCCAGAGGCAAGAAAGCTGGCATCACAGAAGCTAAAGGCCTCAGGAAGGTCCAGGGGAGGTAGGGGAGCAGCTCCAGTAGGGGTGTTGGGGATAATGTGGCCACATTTTGCAGATTTGGTCTGTGCGGTGTCACAGAAGAGAGAGCTTGCCCACTCAGCTCTCACAGACCCAAGCGCTAGACACTGAGCATCCCGGTGGAGAAATGTTGGCTTTGTGATTGATGGATGGCGCCACCCAGGAGAACGGGAAGCTAAGGCTCAAAGGCCAGAACTCCCCGAGGCATGTAGGTTGCAGATTCTATAGAGCAAAACCACAAGATGTCAAGAGTTAGGGGCTTGCGCCCTAACCGGTTTGGCTCAATGGATAGAGCATCAGCCAGTAGACTGAAGGATCCCAGGTTTGATTCCGATCAAGGGCATGTACCTTGGTTGTGGGCACCTCCCCAGTAGGGGGTGTGCAGGAGGCAGCTGATTGCAGTTTCTCTCCCATCGATGTTACTCTCTATCCCTCTCCCTTCCTCTCTGTAAAAAAAACCCCAAAAACAACAACAACAACAAAAACAACACAACAATAATGTGTGTGTATGTATATATATATATATATATTAAACGAGTTAGGGGCTTGGGTCATGCATGGAGCTGATTGGTCAGAGGAGAGGTGAGGGTAAAGAATCATTTCTTCAAGTCTTGAGAACAATTTGGAGGTCTGTTCCCATGTCCCTGTGTCTAGTCCCATGGGAACGGAGCCAGGGGGCGTTCCACCTTGGGGCTCAGGAGCTGAAACATAACTTAGGCCTTAGATCGGGATGTGATCTTTAGCCTGCCAGAGTTTTGGACTATGTGACCATGTGACCAAAGTATGTCTGAGTGCAGGATGGCTATGATAAGGAAAACCTATAGCTTCACACTACCATTTACTAAGCATCCTGTCTTCTGCTGCCTCGGGAGTTGCTGATTGTCTGGGGAAGGGGAGAGGCTAGATCTTGGGGTGGAGAAGGGGGAGAGGGAAATAGGGATGATTTCTAGAGCTGGGATTGAAAACTAAATTTAACCTGTCATAGGACTCCCCATTTCACTTGAATTGGAGACATTAGAACAATGAGTAACAAAGAAAGAAGAGAAAGGCCTTTAGTGGGACGTCTACCGTGAGCCAGGCACCGCATATGTTATCTCATTTGATCCCTGCCATCTGTAGTGGGGGGCAGGAGATAATTTCTGTTCTTGCCCCTATAATAAGGACATTGAGGCTCAGGGAGGTGATACCTTGGACAAGCCATACAGAACTGGGGCCGGGACCCTCTGTCTAGATTATGGACGATGCTGATGGACGATGCTGCCTTCCTCCTACCTGGCCGGTGAATGCGCAGCCTGCCCCCTCCACGCCTCGTGTGCCACATGGAAGCGTCACCAATCCCTCCTCCTGGGCCTCACCTCCGACCAGCAGGAGCCCTGCCTGGAGCCAGAGCTGAGGGAGGAGGAGGAGGAGGGGAGTCCCCAGCCTGGAGCCATCCGTCTGCTGGCTGGTGACACGACACCAGGGCCCAGCAGAATAGCAAGCTTGTTCGCTCTTGTCTGGCTGTTAGTGGTGATGTATGAATAAGCAAAGAAGACAGCTTCATTTTCATAAGTTAACTTGTGCCTGGAGGAAGGAATACGGGGAGCAGTGCACTTCATCATCACCGCAGGGCCGCACGGAGAACAATGACAGAGCCTTTCCTGTTAGTCACGGTGCTTTGTTGTAATGACTCCTGAGAAGACGAGATGATGGTGAGGATGCTGAGAGGCAGAGGGCGGGAGGCAGCTCACAGGAACCCGGGTCCTTCCCCAAGAAGAACCCCTGGGAGGCTGCCTCTGGGTGGCTGCCAGGCCCAGGGTGAGGTGTTGACACGGACCTCTGCAGACCGGGGTGTGGATGCCACGTGGCTGATGATCTGGGGGAGAGGATCTGTCCCATCTGCGCTGTAACTGGCGGGGGACTGAGGGACTCTCCGCCTAGACAGGTGTTGTGAGGCAACACCGTTATCAGAAGAGTTTTTAGGGAAACTTGGGAGTTAGAAAGCCTGTGTGAAGGGGAAGGGAGAGGGGGTGGCAATGTGGGACAGCAGGCGGTTCATGACTGCGGCCAAGATGTGGAAGGGGAATCGCCCACCTTCCCCCACAGTCAGTCATCCAGGCCCTCCCCTCCTGCAGCCTGTCCGCATCTCTGTCACCGCAGGTACCGCACAGCTTCGTAATAGTTCATCTGTCGCCTCTTCCAGCTGCCTGTAGAGCAAGGGCTATATTTTGTTTGTCTGGATTCCTTAGTGTTTTGTGCCGTGTCTGACACACAGCAAACTCTCAATCGATAGTCAGCTGATCCAACGTCGAGGTAGAGTAGGGATCATGTCAGCTAAGGGAGGGAGACGGCTGAGGCTGCCCAAGCCTGAAGCCGAGCCGACAGGTCAGTATATAGAGCCGGGAATTCTGGGTGTGATGATAAGAGTAAAGGCGTACTGGACATTTGACTACTTTCTAGGCATTGTCAGTGGTGATGTGTGTCCATTCTGAGCACATGGCACCTTCATCATGTCCCCTAAAAATTGTAGCATCAACCCAGGGACACCAGGAATTATGAGCCCGCTCCCCAGAGACCCCACATTGCCTGTGTCACAGCCCCTGGGCTCTCTCATGAGGTCGCAGCTTGAGGACTGGGCGCCCAGCTCTCTGCACTGAGGGCGCCGTGCCCTTCAGATCTGAGTGCTCTGCACCGGCATCCCGGGCTTGTTGCGTGTGGAATGGAGAGCTCTCGGCTTCCTGAATCGGTGCTGTGTGTTTCTGGGGGATCCTACAAGTTTTGAATGTGATCATGCGGAATGACAAAGTGGGCGATAGTATTTTCCCTGCCTCTAATTTATGTATCTGTGCTGGGTGTTGATTTAGATAGGAGCTCGATAAATTGATCAAATAAATTACAGCAAACCCACACCGCGTCGTTTCAGGGAGCTGTCACCACACTGAGGAGGCTCTATATCACCCAGCGCCGAGTTCCCGGGGAGCCGCTGCTCTCCTGCCAGCGGGGGGCTTCCGTGCGGTCAGGAAGGTCTTCATTCCTCGGGTCGGCCAACAGCGTAAGGATGTTAATTCCAGAAGGCAGTGGTTAGCTATAGAAGACAGTGGTTATTAGTCATGAGACCTTGAGCACCTTATTTAGACTTTCTAAGCCTCAGTTTCTCTTTGTATAAGATGGGGATTTATGCCCTAGCCCAGGGGTCCTCAAACTTTTTAAACAGGGGGCCAGTTCACTGTCCTTCAGACCGTTGGAGGGCTGGAATATAGTTTTTTAAAAAACTATGAACAAATTCCTATGCACACTGCACATGTCTTATTTTGAAGTAAAAAAACAAAATGGGAACAAATACAATATTTGTATTTACATGTGGCCCGCGGGCCGTAGTTTGAGGACCTCTGCCCTAGCCAGTTTGGCTCACTGGATAGAACATCTGCCTACAGACTGAAGGGTCCTAGGTTCAATTACAGTCAAAGTCACATACGTCAGTTGCAGGCTCCATCCCCAGCCCTGGTCAGGCCTTTTTGTGGGGACAACCAACCCATATGTCTCTCTCACATCGATGTTTCTCTCTCTGTCTCTCTCCCTCCCTTCCACTCTTTCTAAAAATCAATGGAAAAATATCCTCGGGTGAAGATTAACAACAACAACAAAAAAAGATGTGGATTTATAATTTCCGTTATAAACCTTGGGTTCAGGCAAATAAAGAAGTATATGCCGGTTCCATCGCTAGCTGTGCAAACCTCAGCCCTATGCGAGCCTCAGTTTCCCAGTCTGTAAAATGGTATTGATTCTAAGAAAACACCTTGTGTGCACGATTGGGTTGTCCAGTGGAAGGCAGTTGGGTCTGATGCCTGACTAACCCTCCTTACAAGGCTCAGGGATTTGCTCTGGGGACAGAGAAGCAGTTGTTCCTGCACAAAACACTCCTGAGTTGCTGTCACATTGGCATGAGCTGGTGCACGGTGAGAGTAAAATCACGGCGAGAAGGTGGCTCTTCTCTGTAGGTCCCGTCTCATTAAACAAGGCTCGCTTCTTCCTCTGACGTGAGGAAATGATCTCTACTCATGCCTAGGCCAGCGAGTTAGTATATAATGGGAAACATTAGGACTGGAACACTGGACGCGTAGTATGTCGATAACTGTGTGCTGCAAGAGGTAAGGGTGGGAGGGAAGGATGGATGGATGGATGGATGGATAGATAGTTGGATGGATGGTCTGGGATTCTGGCTTTTTTGCATATTAACTGTGTGGCCTTGGGCAACTCAACAAGCAACTCTGGGCAGCCTCCATTTTTCCTCCATAAAATGGGGATACGAAAAATAGATGGACTACCTACGTGTGAGAATTAAACAGGTTAACACAAGTCAAGCACTTAGGTCAGAGCCTGGCAGCCGATAAGAACTCCGAATAATGACAGCTCCTGCCGCGATTTGCCGTTACTCTGCCTCCTGTTCTGCACTCGCTGACCCACGGCTCGGCCTCTTTGAAGACCTTTGCATTCTCTGTCCCTCACAGGCCAGCAGGTCCTGGGCTTGGTGGAGAACCAGAGCGATTGGTACCTGGGGAACCTGTGGAAGAATCACCGCCCTTGGCCCGCCCTTGGAAGAGGCTACAATACAGGTAGGTCATGAGGGGCGGGGAGGGCGGGTTACAAAGGGCGATGTGAGGACTCATGCTCCTTCCCTGGGGAGAGGAGGTGAGCCACTGCACAGGTGAAGCCACCTGGTGGCCTGGGAGCCTTCCAGCCCTTTCTCTGTGCTGCCCCTACAGGCCAAGTAGCGGTGGGACCATGGTGTCTGCGGGAGTCTCACCACAAAGCCCCTGACCTTCAGGGCAGACCCTGGGTCTCTATGAGTGTGACCTGTGGGTGCCTTGGCTCCGTTACTATAGACCAGAGATCACTCTCCAGTGACAAGCCCAGCGTCTCAGTTTCTTTACAAAACAGAAACCTACCTTCCTCGCTCACATGCCATGTCCACGTTAGATGCCACCATCAGCATTCGGGGTTCCCCTGGATGGGGACTAACTGGCACAGGGAGCAAAATAGTAGGTGACCCATTGGCTCTGAAGGCATCTGGTCCGATGTGACGTGCTTTCTGCTAATATGTCGTCGGCTACAGCATGTCATGTGGCCATGCCCACCTTCATAGGGTGTAACCTGGCCACGTGCCCGGAGGAGGAAAGGCAGAAATGTTAGATAATTGGTGCTCAGGAAACCGTGTGAAATTAAGTCCATTCTTCTCCCCTGTTGCTAGTCCCCAACTTGTGTCTCCTCTTTTCTTTCTGTCTGTTAATAGTAGCATTCGTGCTCATTCATTCTTTGTTCACCTCTGTCTGTTGAATGCTTCCTGTGCACTAGGCCCAGTGCTGCAGGGGCCAGACACAGCCTGGGACCTCATGGAGCATGTAATCCAGGAAGCCAGGGCAGCCCCTCCCCTTAGGCTCAGGTGCTGCCAGTGTCTGTCTTTAAAACATTCTGGATCCTTCTGCCTCCTCCCCTCCTTCCCCTTTGCCGCTGCTTTGGGGCCCTGTTCTCAGAGGATGCAGACCCGGGACCTGTGCCAGGACTAGAACTTGGAGCTCAGGGAGCAGTCGGGTGGGGTGCGGCCAGCTGGAGCCTGACCTCTGAGACCAGCTGTCCTGCGTGGGGACCAGTGTCCTTGGGGGATGGCGCCACCTGGAGGTGATGGGTGAAACTGTCCTGCAGTTCACTCTGGGAGCCCAGGGTCCAACTCTAGAGAGGTCGAACACTGGATCCCAGAGGCCAAAGGAAAAAGGAGGAGAATCAAGCTTCCAGAGGTGAGAGTTCAGAGATGGGGTCAGAGTCAAGGTCAAAGCGGGTCTAGGGTGAGGAAAGAAAGGTCCAGCGTCCATGTCCTGAGCAGCAGAGGTGGCAGGTAGGGAGCCCTGTTGGAAGGCCATCCTTCCACATGGGACGTCCTGACATTTGCCACAGTAACCACGCACGCCCCCTGTCTCATATCCCCTAACACCTACCAGGCGTTAGTTATAGCCTGAAGAGGTTCCAAGTGAAGAATTTTCACCACCTGCCCCTTCGTCTACCTCCTGGAGGCCCCCCTGGCTGTGCTGGGCGTTAACCCTCGAGGTGCAGGATGGTGGGGAATTCTGGGAAGGCCCTGAGAGGAGCGGAGGTGGGAGGGGCCCCATGGGGCTCAGAGCAGCGGCTCTCTGTAGCCGGTGTGGGAGTATTGCAGTACTTTGTTAATGGTGAGGGCAGGACCCTGCACACCAGCTGGGCCCTGGCCAGGCACGGTGCCAGGTGCTTCGTAGGTGTTAATCTCATTTGATCCGCACACTAACCCCAGGAGCAGGTGCTATTCTCATCTCTATTGTATAAGCTGCAAACTGAAGCTTAGACAGTTGGCGGATAAGTAAGGGGCCTGTTAACGATGAGCTAAAACTTCATAGCGTGAACTTGTGTGAGTTGTGTGGTTTCGGGATCAAGACTCCTTTTTGAAAATGCAGAATCCTCCACTCTGCCCTTGAAGGGTCTTGCCGGAGCTTGACAAGGAACCTGCCCTGGAAGAAGCATCCAGGAAGTTTCTGGAGCAGAAGGTCCAGGAGTCTGCTCTGTCTTGCCTTCCAGCCAGTCCTCTCAGGGCCTCTCTGCTCAGTGCACAAAGCCGGACCTTTTAGGAGGCAAGTTGCCAAACTCCCGTTTCTCTTTTTGAGGGTGAGGCTCTGACCTGGACGTTATCAGACTGTCAGAGGGCCGAGCCTCCTTCTGGACACCTGTGCCCCTTTTCTGAATCAGAGCGCCTGTTCATAACATCAGCTTTCAGGCCCTCACCCAGAGAGAGTGGATCTGAATCTGTAGCGATGAGGCCAGGCAGCTGTTATGTTAAACACGCCCCCTCCCTGGCTCTGATGCATGCGAATGTTTGAGAACCTCGTGCAGGCTTTTATTGCCATTTGCACATCAAGCTCAAATTGGACTGGAGTTCAACTGAAAAGCCCCATGAATGACGATTCGGCCAAAGGGTCCCCATTCTGGACGTCGGTAGGAGATTTATTGCGCCTGAAGCACAGGCATTACATTTATCTCTGGTGAGTTGTCTCTGATTTAGGCCAATCTTTGCATCATTTTATTTGACCCCATTTTAGTTCTGCTCAGGGTCATGCACAAAAATAACGAAAATGCCTTGTTTATCCCGTGGCCATGTCCCATTTTTTGTAACATGCTTTGAACGCCTCTTTTACAGTTCTGGGATAAAATACATAGATTACCTATATGATTACACTGTCTACATATATAATTTTCCAAAAATCAATCTAGTGCCCTGACTGTAATATAAAGAAGAAATGAAAGGAAATTAATCTATATATATAAAAGGCTAATATGCAAAGTGTCCCCTCAAGAGTTCAACCAGGAAACTGGGAGCTCGATCACTTGCTATGATGTGCGCTGACCACCAGGGGGCGGCACAGAACCAAGGAAGGCCCCGGCCTGCAGCCGGAAGGCTCCGATCAACCCGAATCGCTGGCCAGGCATAAGGACCCTACCCGTGCACTAATTTCATGCACCGGGCCTCTAGTTTACTATAAAATAATATTGACTTCAGTGTGTAATTGCTCAGGCTTGGCAACTGTAGGAGACCTAGTGAGGTGGTCAGAGGCTACATGCTGGTGTTCGGGACAGACGACATTAAATATTTTTTTACAACAATCCATCTCCATATTCTTTCATAAAAGAATAGTCAAGAAATGCAGTGATGTGCAGGAGCCGTGGTTTGTAAGAGCTCATTTTTAAATTCTCAGGAAATGTGAGATCTGATTATTAAGCATAGCAACTATTAAAAGTCAAATTATATAAACTTACCAGTAACTGATTTTAAAAACGAAGGTAATAAATACTCAACACTCATTACTTCCTAGTCATATTCCTATTACCTGTGCTTTTAAGGTTATTACATCTGCTGTATCTGTATGGTGGGAATACTGTAGAGTGATGAGCTACTGCACATCTCTCCCTGCTCCCTTCAGTGACATTGCATTAGTAGCTTGAAATTTGCCAGTGTGGGAGTATTTACACCATGGAAATTGGCAGACACTATAAATCAGGGCTTTTCTTTTTTTCTTTTCAGAAATCTAACTGTTAAACTTTTACCAGCATGCCACTGAAATATAGTAATATATGTGATTGCCTCTCCCCCCATCACTTTTGCCTAACTTAAATACTGTAGCAGTTTGCAGTATATTCTTGACTTTCCTCTTTTCACATATGTAATTATCTATTTCTCTCTATATATGCATCTCCTTTTTCATTGTCACATGTGCTTTTTACTTCAAAACAAAATGTTGGGTATCTCTCTGCATTGGTACATAAAGTTGTATTTTCTTCTTTCTTTTTAAGGGCTATGCATAGTTTTTCCATTTGCTGAATGTACCCTAATTTCTTTTATTTCCTATTAATCGGTATTTTAGTTTCTAGGTTTTCCCCCTAACTATTATAAACCACACCACACATAAACATACTTTATATTCATATTTGTTGGCTTATGCAAGTATTTATACACAGTGGAGCCTAAGAACTGGTATTGATCTAACAAATATTATAGATATTAAAATTTTTCATAGGCTAGAAAATAGCAAATGAGTCATGGGTCAGGTAGATGAAATTTTTAAGCAATAACTATTTATTAAATAGTAATTACATTTTGATTAAAATTTAATATTTATTTAAAATAACTAATATTTTAAAAAGTAAACCACTTCATAACTAAACGGGGTTGTGTGGATATGTGTGTGTGTGTTGTGTGTTTGTTTTCTGTACTGGAAATAGTCTGAATTGCAAAGGACAACCTCCAGAACCGTGAGAAAATGATTTCTGTTGCTTGCACTCACCCAGTCTGTGTCCTTTTTGTTACTGAACCACCTAACGCAGAAACCTCACTTCAGCTGTTGATGCAGGCAGATGCTCTCTCAGGCCTCGGAAGCCATGAAGCCCTGGCCAGGGCGGGGGGAAGCAGAGCCCCTTCCTTGCGATGGGCCACTCTCCCTGGCTTTCCCACCTCAGCACGGGGACTCAGTGACTTGCATGGCTACCGTGGGCACAAGGGAAAGCCATTCCTGAGAATGCCGCTGCCCCCCCTCTGCTGACCTGCACAAGGTCAGGGATTCTCTCCACTCTGGCCTCAGCATAGCAGGAGCTAAGGAGCTAAGGAGCGTGACCCAGCCACCCAAGTCCTGTGCGGCTGGTTCCGTCTGCAGTGAAAGGGAAAGAAGGGGGGAGATGATCCCAAATCTTCCTGCCAACAAGAACATAATCTGGCCTTCAGTCAGTGCACGGATGCTTTGAAGACTCGCGTACAATGAGAAGAGGCATCTGGCTTCGGGAGGTCTCTCAAGGTCACGGTGCCCATCTCTGAGGTGTGACTTGTGCATTCAGTGCATTAGCTCGTGTAACCCCCACTGTACAGAGAAGCCCATGGAGATGCAGAGAGGCCCATGGAGGTGCAGAGCAGCTAATTGATGTCAGGAGTTAGCAGAGCCAGTAAATGACAGAGCCCAGTCTCTTCTTGGGGCCTCAGTGCTTGAGGTTGGGAGCGAGGCTGCTGAGACCTCCCCAGGGGATCTGTCCAGCCCCGCCCCCCGCCCCC